AAAATCAGTCCCTGGCTCCTGGGGTTCTGAATACACAAAGCACCCATCAACCCAACAGTCAGAATTGGTGATACTTCCTATCTCTCGTCTGTATGTTCAGTCATTTGATGTTTGAGCGAGTTGTTTTAGTAGAGCAACTGACACAGAGTAGATGCTAAATAACCACCATCAAATTGATAAAGGAATCCTCCCGTCTCTACCTAGAACCTCAAAGAAAACTGACCCCCAAAGAGAAAGAAGAAACTGGAGGCAATAGAGCACCACTATCTGAAAATATTCTCTGCACTGTTTTGCTTAACTATTTGTTGTCTTATTCCCCCATTAGAATGTAAAATCCATGAGAGGAAAGACTATGTCTGGCTTGTTTCATGGGAATCTAGAACAGGAGTACAGAGCACAGTCTCTATAAATAAGTTTTTAAATGAATAGCATAAGAGTTAAAGGCACTCACAGCTTTGAGGGCGGAACTGAATTGGAGTCCTGGCTCATCATCTAATGGCTGTGTAACTTTAGGACAGTTATTAAGTTTGTCTAATAACAGTACTTCGCACAGTTTTTGTGATTTTAAAAAGTGATTTTAAAGTGTTTATTATCTACCAGACCATAACCTGTTTATATTTACAGAGAATATACCATATGCAGACACTCTTCTAAGTGCTGAATATGAATTAACTCATTTAACCGTCACTATAATTCTACAAGGTAGGTGCTATAATCATTTCCATTTTTATAAACAAAGTGAACTAGACAGAGAGGTTAAGTAACTTACCAAAGGTCACACAGCAGACATAATTTTCAAATACAGGCTGCCTCCAGGATGCATATGCTATACTTACTCTCAATAAGCCCCCAAAAGTCAGGTTTTATAACATAATAACTATTATTAGGAGTGAGAGGCCCTGATTCTCTGTGATTTTTACCTTCACCTGAAAGACACTTGCAGAATAATTGAGGGAGAACTGAGAAGGTGGAAGGAGAGAACCGTACCCAGTGAGGCGGTTTCGGATAATTTTGACGCTCATCACGGTCTCCCCCATGGTGGCAAAGGCTCTGGAGATGAAATTCTCATCCATGTAGGGCTCCAGCTGCGTAAATACAAGAGCAGAGAGATTCAGGCCAATAGGCAGGCTCCGCTTGTCCGGCTCCAGAGCCCATTCCCCTCAGTTCTGGGTTGGTCCAACCGCTAGGGGATGTGGCGAGGGGGTGTGGCCAGGTTTTCAAATGCAGAGTAATCTGAATGAACCCCGGCTCCCGCTTTCCCAATTCCTTGCATCCCTTCTCTTTAAACTTGCTCCCTTTAGGGAGCCTCTCCTTGGATTTAGGCACCCAACCCCTCCAGTTTTAAAACCACAGAGTCCTTCAAAATCCCTGGGATTCCTCCCATGCTCTGTCCCCAAAGAACCCCCCTTTCCCCTCCATGAACCCAGGCGGGGCCCCAGGACCCCTTCCCCCTCAGACTCGGCCCCTACCCATGGATGCTGGGACCCGCTTCTGTGTCACCCAAAAGAACTCCCCTTCCCATTCACTTTCATCTTTTTTGTAATTGGAGGACGCCCATCTCTTCACACCCTCCCTCCCTCCTGACACTACGATTCCTCCTGCTCGGACCCCGACCGCCCTCTCACTCACGTCGCCCATCCACAGGCTGGCCGCCATGCCAGCAGCCGGACCTGGACTTAGCGGGCTGCGCGGCGCTGGCGCGCCAGTGCTCCCGGCCGGGACGCCCACGGAGCATGCGCCTACGACGCCTTCTGCGCACGCTCCGAAACTAGGCGCCCTGGGCAGCGCCGGCTGCTGCGACTTCGGGTTCTTCCGGCGACTGGGCTACTGGGCGGGAAGCAGAGCTTCCGGGTTCCTGCAGGCGAATGCTGATCACACCCGGCGGCACGGTGCCGCGGTAACTGGCTTTCTCGGGATTCTTTCCGACTTTATGTATGTAAGCACACATGCGTACCTACGTTACGAAAGTAATATATGCTCATTGTAAAAATTTGCAAATGTAGACATTTTTAAAAGATGAAAGGTACCCTTTAGGAGCCTGGATGATCCCGTTCCACTGAGCATGACCTAACTCTCAGCCACCCACTTCGCAAGAGATTTTTGTTCAAGCTGTAACGAGATTCCTGTGTACAGTCCAGAGGGTTAAAGGGTGTAAATTGGGGCAACCCTGCCATCTCAACCAGTCCATCCCCAAGTCTTTTCACTCTACGTTTTTGAGCCCCACCTGCCTCAAAACAGTGACATGCCCATAGAAGGCCCTCAGTTTTGACAGTGTCCCAGGCCATCGCCTCACTTTAGTGCCCATGTCTCAGAGTGGGACGTTTCTGTTGGTGATGATTGTCATCTCTAACAGTGAAGCCACCCCAAATGTTTGAGGATCCTTTTCTGGGACTTGTTCCCACTGAGCTGATGGGCCACTGAGGCCCTTACATAACCTAAGCTTGGGGTGTTGGGCCCTTAAGTAAATCACTCATTGATCTGCAAACCTGAGATCCAACCATGAGTTGCCAACTTTCCAGCTTTACCCTACTCACTGCAATAGTAGCGTTGTGGTTGGGTACCCTGGCTGTAGATTCAAACAAATGGAGCACCAATCCCAACCCCTTCTCCATTATTGTGGCAAGTTTTTGAACCTCTGAGATTAATGTGAATGACACTAGTGCTTACTCATAGGGTGTTGAGGCCTTAGAATTACAACTTACAGCTATATATTCAGTACTGTTTGCTAGCCCCTGTGTTGCACTCTGCTTACTGTTTTTAAAATATGGAAAATGTAAAAATATTCTTAATTTAGAATATAAGCTTCACGGGACAGGGATCTTTGTACATTTGTTTCTAATCAAATCCCCACAATGTTTCGGATATACACTGAAAGAAGCATTTGCTGAATTTCTGTCAGAAACAGCAGTCCCTTACCCATCTAGCCACTCTAGTGGGGCAGTGATTTCCAAATCTTTTCCTTAGAATCTATCTGTGTATTTCTAAATAACATACTTTCACTTATAGTTTCAGATATTTTAAGCAACTATCCTTCCTACATACATACTTCTCCATCTTCTGATAATTTTTTTGTTAAAGCAGTATTGAACATTTACATTATTACTTTGTCAATATTACTTACAGCCGAGCCACATGGGGTACTATGACTACAATTGTTTTGGGGTAACCAATCCAAACTGAAGGAGGAAGGGGCAAGATAAAATTGAGAGTGCTGGGTATGACTAAAAAAACTAAACACTTGAAAGACAAGGCAATTCATTATTAACTCCAGGAAATAAAAACATGTATAATCGTCATAACAGCCAAGACTCACAGAGCACACACTGTGTGGCCTGACACTGTTCCAATGTAAGGCACGACACACAGCTTTCTACCTCTTACAAGCATTACAAGGCCAAGTGATCGAGTGCCAGGCTCGGGTGCAGGCTGATTTAGATTCCAGTCTAGCCTGTGTACTCACCTGACTCCAGGCAAGTCACTTGAACTCTCAGGGACTGTTTCCTGAGGGACAGCAATTACTACTTTGAAGGGCTGATGTGAGGATTAAATAAAATATTATTGCCTATAAAGGGCTCAGCACAATGCCTGGTTCATTCTAAGTCCCAATTCACAAGAGCTATCACTAAGAATGGTACTTTCAACCTGCTGTATTGTCAAAAGGAAAAAAAAATCCTGTAACTCTAACCCAATTGGAGTTTGGCAAGGGGTGGAGGGAGTAGCAAACACACAGGTGCTTCTTTACAAAGAAAATATAATAAAAAATATGATTTTTTTCCTAAGAAGTCAATTTCTAATCAGTATAGCACCTGCATCAAAACCACAAGTTCAAATGGGGTAAAAATCACAGAATACATTTTAAGTTATTTTACATCATATTCATTTTTCCAAGAGTCACTTACATCCAAGAATCTTTCTGGCACTGATAAAACTTTCCAGTTATACACATACAGACCTCCTATATCAACACTGTCCGTTGTAACTTTCTGCAATTATAGAAATGTTCTATATATTTCTACATTTATATAGCCCAATGCCATCACACTAGCCACATGTAATTATTGAGGACTCAAAATGTAGCCAGTGCAACAGAATTTAAAATTTTTACAAATTTTAATTGATTTAAATGAAAATGGCCACTTAAAGCTAGTGACCACCATACTGGACAGATCAGCTGTATGTTTTGTTTGTTCCACTGCCTGTGAAAACCTACGTTAATGTACTTAGGCTGCCTTAAGAGTTACCGTGTAATCAATCATGTTTGATCAGTTACATCCGCTGTTGAAAATGATACAACAGCAGGCTCAGTTTAAGTATTTCTAGAGATGTACTGTTCTGGTTTGGGACTAAGACGCTGAAGAACCATTCCATGTCTCATATTATGCAGCATAATCTTTTTTAAAAATACAATGATTCCTGGAACATAAATACCTAAACAAAAATCAATTTTCTTTTGATTTGTATGGAACAGTCCACATCAATAGCTGACAGGCACGTATCAGGACATCTTGACATCGCCTTAAGTACTAGTCTTGGCCAAGTTCACAGATGTGGGTCTATCCTGCCCTTCCCAGCACAGCAGATGCTCCCTTAAAAAAGCAGGGAGTGTGTAGAAAACAAGTGGCCTGTTTTATAAAACTCTAAATTTATTCAAAATGTTAAAAGATTTCACTCTCCCTTCTAAAATACTTTACATTAAAAAAAATTAAACTGCTTGCTATTTTTTCAGACACTGTACAAGCTGCTGCTTCGCTTTCTGGGGACCAGCCTCTGCCCATCCAAACCTCTTCCCTGCCCTCCCTTCATTCTTGATATTGCTATGTTTGTTTCGAAAACCCTCCTTTCCCTCTCCGCCCATGTCCTGCTCTGCAGGCGTAGCTTCCTTTCCAGATTTCGGGCCCTCGGCTGCAGGTGAGGCAGGCTGGGTCGGCAGTGCAGGGCAGAATGCTTTGTGCTTCTGGGAGAAAGGCTAATTGGCTTTTTTAATCAAGCGGAGGATCGTCTTTTTGTCTGACCCACGAACACCTGTTCAGAGCCAAATATTTGGCTTGGGCTTGCCCATGGCTGGTAGCCCTGCCCCTTCTCTAGTTTCCCCCAGGCGCGGGTCCATGACAGCTGGGTCTAACAACTGTACCGTTTGTCTGCATGTGGATCATCAAGGGCAGGCAGAGTGGCACATGACTAGAGTAGGGCTTGATGGGGCCCGACTTCTCAGGGTGTGAGAACCAAGTCCCCCGAGAGGAAGTTTTGGTTTTTGGTAGACAAAACCAGGGTCCGCTAGGACCATGGGAGGTAGGGAGGAGGGGGAACGGTCTAATCACATAGTTCTGGGGTGAGCAACATTCCCACAAAACCCGCTCCCCTCCCTTCATCCTGTAGGTTACAGGACAATTCCAGGAAGGAGGAAGAAAAAGATGGTTCTGTTCTGTGGATGGAGAAAAGGCAGGAGATGACAAAGTACTTGGGGCTAGGGGAAGCCTGCTGGAGCCCACAGTCATCACGGCTTCCGTGTTCCGGGAGGGAGGGTGCAGGGGCTGGGAGCCAGGCCCTCCGAGGCTTCATCAGCTCTGTTCCTTGTTCTTCACCAGTAAGACTGTGTGCTGGCCCCCGCTGGACACAGATAAAACCATTCGGTTCTCCAGCTGTTTGCCTGTCATCTCCACGGGGCTCCAGGAGTCCTCCTCTTGCCCTGTGCCCAGCTGGTAGTTTGTGCCCATACCCCAGGCAAAAACACGACCTGTGAGAGAGAGAGAAACAGGGGCAGTCGTCTTCAGGACCCAGAGCCTCGTCTCTCTGTAGTGAGAGAAGCGTGGGACATAAGGGTGAGTTTTATTCAGCCTTGGCCTACTGGAATGTCCCAGCCTCTGGGAGTTCAGGGAAACTGGGAAATGTCAAGGAGATGATGGATAAAAGCTTTGTCATCCCGGTACCACAGTCCTTACACATTGCCAAAGATCCCCCTGCTCCTAAGCATGACGTTCAAGGCCACTCCCCAGACCTCTACACCACCCTGCGCTCCCAGGACCGGCCACCTGAGATGGCTCTCTATGTCCCTGCGCCCAGGATGCCCTCCTTTGCTTATCATAAACCTTCAAGGTGCAGGACAAGCCCCAGTCTGTCAGGAACGCTGCTCCAGGTAATCCCAGATGAGGCAGCTGCACCAGGCTGACCTCTCATGGTTTCCACGGCTGTGACACTCACCCGCTCAGGCTTCGGTGGCCGCCTGCTCACACCCTTCTCTGCTGTGCTTGTCAGAACCCCGACTATGACGCCTTCTTCTCCTAATATAATTCTAACTGTAACTCCCTGGGAAGTTGGCATGTACTAGGTTGTAAATAAAAGGGTCACCATGGAGGAAAATGTAAAGAAAAGCCTGAATTGGGAGTCTGAAGATCTGGGTTCAAGTCCTGTTGCCTGGCTAGGTTTTGGTTATATTTCTCTTTTGCTGTTTTTCTCCTCTACAGAACAAAATCACCTTTATGAAAATTCATTTATTCACGTTAAGTTCATCAAAGCCAGAGCTTTTGACAAGCAGGAGGAAAATGATGTTATCATAAACACTGCCCTCTGCATCTCAGCTGCACCTGCCGGCGGCCACCAGGGCCTCCCAGCCAGCTTGGCAAGAATCACACACAACTCCCAGGCCCAGGCCCCAGCCAGACCAACCGCGGGCAGCCCCACTCACCATCCTTGGTCACAGCATAGCCCACAGAGGCCCCACAAGCCACCGAGGAGACGGCAGGCAGCCTGGAGATGAGGGTGGGTACACTCTTCTCCTCGGCACCCTCCCCGAGGCCCAGCCGCCCGTACTCAGCCCGGCCCAGGCTGTATGCTTTTCCTGTGGGAGGAAGGGGAGAGATGAGGGGTCACAGAGGGTGCGTCCCAGGTCGGCCAGGGCAGTTCCCCTATCTATGGGAGCTGCTCCCCATTCCCAGGGTGATGAGGAGGGGGTTTGCAATGTCTTTTCCAATTTGGGGGAGTCCTGGGAGAACCTCCCCCACTGAACTCATACTTGGAAGAGCACCAGGACTCCGGGGGCAAGTGAGACCCTCATGGGCCCACACCTGGCCCAATCCATGGAGCAAGCCCAGGTTCCAAGGGCTGTGGTCTCAGGGGTCAGGCCAGGCCCGTGCAGAGGAGACACGGCACTCCTGATCCAACAAAGGGCCCACCTTCCGAATCCATGCAGACTGTATGGTGCTGGCCACCAGAGAAGCCCACCCAGGACTTGGTAGAGTTCTTGAAGGAGGTCAGGTTCTGGGGTACAAAGCAGGATTCTGTGCCTGGGGTTCCTGGGAAACAAGGCCAGGATAGAGTTGTCAGGCGTGAAGGTGTCCAAGGAGCTGTCCTTCATCCCCTCCCACACAGACCACCCAAACCCCACCAGCGTGTGGACATTCTCATTTCACAGACGACAGAACGGTGGCTCTGAGGGGGACCCCACCGAGGGTACAGATAAATGAGTAGTGGACCAGGACTGGAGCCCAGGTCACTCTGGGGACTCACCGAGCTGATGGTAGTTTGAAAGGCCAAAGCCATACACATGGCCCTCGAGGGAGATGGCAAAAGTGAAGTAGGCGCCACAGAAGGCATCCTGGAATCTCACGTGGCCCCGGCTTCCCCTGCATTTCAACATCACACACTTGGGGACCAGGAGTCGTTCTGCAGGCAGAGAAAAAGCCAGGGTCAGTGGCGGGCACACACAGCCTCTCCTCTCTGCCCTGTGTCGGTTTCTCCACATCACTAAACCCTCATGGGGAGGCTGAGCAGCAACTTCTCTCCTTATGCAGAGATGAGGTAACCGAGGCCAAGAGAGTGCCTTACTCAGACTCCCGAGGCCCCAAGAGGTGATGTGGACACGGAACTTACCAGGTGCCAGCCATTCTGCTATGTTAGCTCAGTTAACCTCATAGCACCCCAGTGAGGTAGGTAGGTTTAGCGACGAGGAAACTATGTCCAGGGTCCCACAGTAGGTGGAAGAACCACGATTCAAACCCAGGGTAGCCTGGCTCTACAGTCCCGGGTGTTAACTACCTCTGCAAGTCTACCTGATGTAAGCCTAAACACACACAGGGAATCCCTCCTGCCTATGGCCTTCATCAGCGACTGGACTGCCAGATTGCCCTGCCAGAGGGACCCAAGCCACCTACCAAGGCCCTGCCGGCCACCACGATTGGCAAATAATTCAGGCACACGGCCCAGCTGGCCCTGCTCCCCGCAGCCCAAAGTGTAGAGGTCACCATCAGCTGTGAGCATCACCAAGTGGTCGTTTCCTGAGGATGAGAGGAAGGCAGGATGCAGGGCTTGTCTGTGAAGCCCAAAGCGGGGCCAGCACCAGAACAAGGTTCTCCAAGTCCTGCCCGGAGCAAGGAACCCGACTCACCCGAGGCCACCTTCACCACGGGCACACTCAGCTGCACTTGCACGGGAACCATGCTCTTCTTCATGGGCTCCAAGAGCCCGATCACACCATTATTGTCCTGGAAGGAAGGGGCAGAGCACTTATCAGAAGCCCTGCATGCCCCATACCAGACAGGCGCAGGCTTGCAGGCAGCCACAGAGCTGTCTGGTAAGGGGGATTGGTGCCAGACAGCGATGGAGAGGTGCGCAGGAGCCAGGCCACGTAGTGAAATACGTATGAATGAAATCACGCACGGTCTGGGAGTTGCACTAAAATAACAAAGGAGTTGGGGAGTGCATGGGAGCAGAAAGGAAACAAGTTTGCCCAAAAGTTGATAATTGTTAAGGTGAGTAGATGAACATTCAATATTATTACTCTGATTACTTTTATGTGTTTGAAATGCTCTGTAAAATTGAAAAATAGCCCTGGCTGGTGTGGCTCAGTGGATTGAGTACAGGCCTGCGAATCAAAGGGTCTCTGGTTCAATTCCCAGTCAGGGCACATGCCTGGGCTGTGGGCCAGGTCCTCAGTAGGGGGCGTGTGAGACACAACCACACACTGATATCTCTCTCCCTCTGTTCCCCTAAAATAAATAAATAAAATCTTTAAAAATTTTTTTTAAATAGCATTGATGAGGAAACACCTCATCAGATTTTTTGACATTTTAAAGTAAATTAAATACCAAAGTACCAAAATAATTTTAATGATGAATTTGCTTTTTAAACTTCACTCCTGTGCCTTGAAAACTCTGATACGTGACGATTTCCCCCCAGACCTCCTGGGAAGTGTGGGAGAAGGCTGGGAGGGGAGAGGGGAGGTTGAAGGCGGGGAGATGGGTGAGGGTAACAGGCTTCCTGCAACAGCCTCAGCTCAAAGACATCCTGGACTCACCCCTTCCCAAGACACACACTTCACGACACCGGATTCAAGAAAACAGCCAGTGGTGTGGACAGTCCCGAATGAAGAAGCCACAGACCTGGGTCGAGGCCCAGGCTCCAACTCTGGGACTTGATTCCCTCACCAGTCAGCACAACAGGGGTGCAGAGATGAGTCCTCCATGGGGCCCCACCAGTTAACCTGCCTGTCAGCCCCCGGGCAGGCTTCCAGACCATCTTACCCGGAAGGAGCCCCAGAGGAAGACACGGCCATCCTCGGTGAGGGCTGCTGTGTGACTGTCTCCTGCTGACACTTGTACCACCTTCTCTTGCAGTTCCACTTTCCCGGGAACCATCTCTGAGCCTTCCACTGACGTGTCCCTTCCCAGGGCACCCTCGTCGTTGCAGCCAAAGGAGTAGACCTGTGTGCGGGGTGCCCCATTAGTGCAAGGTCTGGCCTTTCAGTCCACTCTTGTTCCGACCACCCCCTGCTCAGCTAGCCAGCTCCATTTCCATAGAGAAGTGGTGTGCTGGCTCGAAGCTCCTTCTCCAAACCCCAGACCCTGTCCAATCCCGTGCCGCCCCCACCTACCTGGCCACTTTTGCTTAGACACACGGTGTGCATGCCCCCAGCCTCAGCCTGTACGATGTCTTCTGGAATGGGAACGAGGGCTGGCTTCTTCCTCTCCATCACATTCTCGCCCAGCCCCAGCTGGCCCACGTCTCCCTGGCCCAGTGTCAGCACCAGACCCGGTTCTGTGCGGTGGGACCTATGAGAGACTGAGGGGTGAAGAAGACAGCCCCTGAGTGAGTAGGATGACTAGAGAGAGGAGGTTACTGCATGGGCTCCGGGATCACACAGACCTGGGTTCAAGCCCCTGCTCTGCCACAGACCATTAGTATGACCTCTCTGAGCTATCCCCATTTGTAAAATGGGGATAGCATTGGTACCTATCTCATAGGGTTCATAAAACTGAGTACATTATTGTGACAGGAAGGAAATGGAAACAAGGAGCCACTCCATATTATGAAATGAATCTTCACGGGGAGAACAGTGAGTACACAAGACAGTTTTCCTGATTAGTTTTAAGTTCTTAACCAGGTGCCATGGTGCCGACAGTGAGGGCTCATTGAGGTAATAAGGTCTATCCCTTACTGACTGCTTACTACTACTGTTAGATTGCTTTGTAGTCCCCCACCTGCTACAGATCTCCCATATTTAAGATCCCATATTACAGGAAAGGGGACAGAGTCTCAGAGAGGATAACAGCTAATTAAGTAGCAGCGTTTGCACTGAAACTAAGGGAGCCACCATGGGTCTGAGCACAGTCCCCAGCCTCCATCCGGGTGTGCCCTAACTCCTGAACAAATTCACACTGACACCCTGCGTTCACATTGGTCCTCCAGGCAGCAGAGGCAGAGCAGCTGGAGAGGGAGGGAAACAGTAAGAGCTGACACAGGTATTTACTGGAGGTAAGCACCAACCAGTAGGCGACCCAGGGCCATCTTCTGGCCAATGATAATTGCCTGTGGCCCCAGACAGCCAATGGTGCCCAGCCCCTCCCCTGGAGGTGTAGCCACAACTGCCAGGGCCTCAGAGGGTGTGCAGGGCTGGGAGCCACCTGGTTGGGTTTCCTGGTCAGGAGTGCTTGGCCTGCAGGCACCTCGGAAGTAGCGGGTGCCTGGAGTGCGGTGGGATGCAACGAGGGAACTCACTGCCTGGTTGCGAGGGTCTGCAAAACATAGACAGACACTTGTCTGAGTGTGAGTTCACACTCCTCCTTCCCAGGTTGGGGGCGGAGCTCTCCTACCTGCCTCCCTCTAGGAAAGAGACCACAGCCACCTCCCTCAAATGGTACCAGGACATTATCTAATTTTCCTTACAACAGCCTAGTAAGGTTCCTACTGTTCTCGCCCTTTATTTTGTGATGGGGTAATCCAAGCTCAGTGAGATTAAGATACTTGCCCAAAGCCACAGACCTAGGGAGTGGCAGAGCCAGGCCTTGAACCCACACCTGGAAGTCAGTGGTCTAAACCATAACCCATCACTGCCTGGGGCAAAGCCTTAGGATCATTTTTTTTGGTAGTTCTACCTGAGTGCTTTTAGACAAGTCTCTGTACCTTTTTGATTCCCAGAGGATGGGATTCAATGACCTACAGGAGACTTTCCACCTGGGTAGAGTTCCTGGACTTCTGGGCCCTTCAGCTTTATATGTCAGGGGGAAGGAGCCCAGTCCCAGATTTGGGGGGCTTCGAGAGGCCACCCAACAACGAGATAGTGGCCAGCTTACTCTTTGCCTTCTTGCTTTTGAGGAGGGCATCTTCTGGGGGCGACGTTCTCTTAGCTATACGCTTGGGTGGCATCCTTCTGTCCTGAAAAACCCGAATAAATACTCCATGTCAGAAATGGTAATTATTTTCCTCCTTTAATCAGGCAACATTAAGAAAAAGAAAACCTTGAAAAAAGGCGAGAGGAACTGCTCAGCAATTCCACTTCTCAGAATCTGTCTGAGAAGAACAAGAACGGAATACACCCCAAGATTAAGTTCCACAAATATTCTCTATTGTATTCTTCAAAACATTTTTAAAAAACACAGCAACCTATGTGCTCAATAGTAGGGGAACTGCTGGATAATATATGGTGTATTCATGATGAAACAGTATGAAGCCACTGAAAGTGATGCTTTCAGAGATTTATTTATTGACTAGGAAGATGTTTACTGTTGCCAAATAATATAAGCAGATTTTAAAAAGTCCATCCCATTTTTGAAATATAAAGGCAGATACATTGCGCTGGCTTGTGAACTGAAAGGCTGCTGGTTCAGTTCCCTGTCAGGGCAAATCCCTGGGTTGTGGGTTTGATCCCCAGTTGGGGCATGTATGGGAAGCAACCAACTGACACTTCTCTCTCACATCAATGTTTGTCTCTTTCTCTCTCTCTCTGTAAAATCAATAAATAAACATCCTTGGGTGAGGATGAGAGAGAGAGAGAGAGAGAGAGAGAGAGAGAGAGAGAGAGACAGGCTCTAGAGCCCGAATCTGGGCCTAACTACTTTCCAGCTGTTTGACCTGGAGTCAAGTTATTTAATCTCTTCTTGATTGAGTTTCCTCTTCAGTAAAGTGGGAATAATAGTATCGACACCTCTGTGATGCACAGGATTAAATGAGCTAAGACTGTACAAGTAATTACATAATAAGTGCTCAGTAAATCCATACTGGTGTTGTCACCATGCCTAGAGCCTGCCCCAGGCAATGCTCAGGCGGAGCTCTGAACTGACCTAACCCCCCTCCCCCACTTCACAGATGAGGGGCAGAGTCTCTACCCAAGAGTCTTCTGAGGCTCAGTGTGGGTCTACCCAGCAGCCAACGCCCTCTGGCCCCTCTCCCTTCCTTCCTGCCAGTGGGTCCTAGAGCCTCAGCCTCTTTAGCTCTCACTCCACAGTGTATGAACATAGTAGACGGCCTCTAAGTTTTGGGGCACATTCTGCTGACTGCACTGAGGGAGGAGAACAGAGTACTGGAGATAGGGAAGTGGCCGTGCAGGTTGAGCTTCTACAGGTTGTGACCGGCCCGGTTCTGACTCTGATGAGGTGGCAGTTCTGAGCTTCACCCAAGTTTTATTCTCCCAGGATGGGAATCTTCCCTCCAACCCGCCTCTTTGGGACCCCTCTTCCCTCACTAAAAATGCACGTTCTTTGGGATCAGAGAGAACTGGCTTCATCAGCCAGAGCTGCGGCTGGTTCACCCAGCCTTTGCGATGCCGTGACTACTTCTCAGGGCTGCTGTCAAGACTGAACAAATGTACCACTGCACATCTATCAGAACGGCCAAAATCCGGAACACTGACAGTGCCAAATGCTGGTGAGGATGTGGAACAACAGGCGCTCTCTCTTTCTCTCTGTCTTTAAGACTTTATTTATTTATTTTGAGAGAGAAGGGAAGGGAGGAAGAAAGACGGGGGGGAAACATCCATGTGAGAGAAACATCGGTCGGTTGCCTCTTGTACACACCCCATCCCACCCAGGGACAGGCATGTGCCCTGACCGGGAATCAGAACAGAGACCTTTTGCTTTGCAGGACGACAACGCCCAACCAACTGAGCCACACTGGTCAGGGCCGGGCACTTTCATTCACTGCTGGTGGGAATGCAAAGTGGTACAGCCACTTTGGAAGACTGTTTGGCAGTTTCTTACAAACCTAAATACAGTTAAAAAGATAAAAAAAGAACAAAGAAAAAAAAGATCAACAAGTAAAATTTCAAAAAAGAAAAGAAAAACTAAATGCAGTTGACCCTAAACAACACAGGTTTGAAATGCCCAGGTCCACTTCCATGTGGGTTTTTTCATAAATATGTGCAGTACTGTAAATGAATTTCCTATTCCTTATGATTGTCTTAATAATACTTTCTTTTCTCTGGCTTACTTTTTTAGGTAGGAATATACAATGTAATACATAAAACATACAAAATGAAAGACTAAATGAAATGTTTGTAAAGAACTTTGAAGTGCCACCTTGGCCAGGCAGCTCAGTCAGAGTCGTTGTCTCCGATACACCAAGGTTGCAGGTTCAATCCCCAGTCACGGCACATACAAGAAGCAACCAATGAATGCAGAAATAAGCAGAACAACAAACTGATGTTTCTCTCTCTTTCTCAAATCAACTTTTACAAATTAAAAAAAAATAGACTTTGAAGTGCCAAGCACACAATAACTACATTAACTCCACATTTAACATCGTCCATAGGTCCTGTGACTTTAAGTGAACTGACTACAGTGTCTCATCAGCATTATAATGAAACAATGTTGAATGAAACACCATTATTCCATGACCTGCTGTATTCGATACATGGAAGCATTCATTCATTCCAAAATATTAAGTGTCTATTACCACTGATTGGCTTTGGGCTAGGGGTAACAAGAAAGAAGAATGCTAACCCTCTCCCTGTTCTCACGGAGCTTACGTTCTAGTGGGGAAGAAAAAATTCACTACAGACGGTGCTGTGTGAAGGACAGACAAGGTGCTACATGAGAGAGTAACTTGGGAATCACGCAACAATGTACATGTACTTGATGCTATACATCTACACAAACTGCACACTTATAAATGGCTAAAATGATAAATTTTATGTTATGTATACTTTGCCATAATGAAAAAAGAGAGAGAATAACTGGAAAAAGGAAGGAGAGTGATCAGGGAGCTGACATGTAAGCTAAGACCTGAAACAGAAGAGAAAGTCAGACCGGGACAACAGCGCCCAGCACAGTGTGCTGGGTCTAGGGGCCTGGGAGCGCCAGAGAGGCTGCAGCTGGAGAAAGTAGTCAGAAGGCACAAGGGAACCAAGGGCTGGATTGAGGGAAACAGGAAGGTTTTAAGAAGAATGCCTTCAGGTTTGCATTTTTAAACACTTTAAGTTCCTCTGGTAAATCACCTCGGATTCCTCTCCCAATCCTAAGGTAATCATTCTCTCCCAGAGAAATCAGGACAAATTTTGGGACCATAATGACTTTATTTACATGTCTATCCACCATACAAATCTACTCCTTAAAATATAAGCCTGTCTGGGCACTGGCCACTCCTGTCTTCTACACGCAAACAACATTTTACTTCTCGCAACAAGCTGAAGAAGGCACTCTCACTCCCACTTCACAGTTGAGAGAACTGAGGCTCAGAAAGTAAATTCGCCAGCCAAAGTTCACACAGCCAGTAAAGGAGCGCCAGGAATAGAACCCAGACATACCTGATGAATTGAAAAATAAGTAAGACAAAACAACAGGCTGGCTAAAGGTAGGCTGTGATCTGGGCAGGGGTGGAGGCAGCCTGGGCAGGCCTCCCCAGGGTTCCCTCCTGAGCTTGGCCAAACACCAGGAGCAGAGGGCAGAAGGCAGCTGAGAAGCAGAGGACAGCAAGAGCGGAGACACTGGGACAGCTGGGCCTAAGGGGGAGGGTGGGACGAGTGAAGAATCCGAAGGGCCCTGGCTGGCGTAGCTCAGTGGATTGAGGGCAGGCTGCAAACCAAAGCATCGCAGGTTCGATTCCCAGTCATGGCACATGCCTGGTTGCAGGCCACGGCCCCCAGTAACCGCACATTGATGTTTCTCTCTCTCTCTTTCTCCCTCCCTTCCCTCTCTAAAAATAGATAGAATCTTAAAAAAAATTCTTAAAAAAAAAAAAAAAAGAATCTGAAGGGTGTGGGGAAGGACAATGGGTGTAACTGCCTGCTGCGGTGGGGTTGAGCACTGGCTGTCGAGTCCAACAGACCTGACTTCTCCAAGCCTGAGAATCCTCATCTCTCAGATGCAGGTCTCTGGGCACTGCAGTGCCGCTGTGAGCAACCCTAGGGGCAGGGCAGGGGACGAGAGGGCACCTCCTCAAAGGTGGAGCCATACACCCATTCCCCACCTGCGTCCTCTGGTGCACAAATAGTCCTTCGTGCACACTCCCTCTCTAACTGCTCTGGGTGTGTTTTCTGAGTCAGACAGTGAGCGTCTGGTCTGGGAATAAGTACAGTCTTTTGTCTCCCACCATCACTGCCCGACAGACAAACGCAGCTTCCATCTTCAAGGAGCTCACAGTCTGGGAGAACAGTGAGACACAGTCCCAAATAATTAAAAGTCACACACAGAGTCAACTCTCCTAGAATGCTCACACCTGCCTTCTGAGATGTGATCACCCTGGCTTCACAGATAAGAAAGCTGAGGTTCAGGGTGAGGCACCCCAGGCCACACAGGGGTAGGATGAAATGGTAATCTCCTGCCCACTCCCCACCAGGGCCAGAGCTCCCCTTCCCACTCCTCTGTGAGCCTCCGTTTCTTCATGTGATGAATGCAGGCACACCAGACTAGACAGTCTACCAGGGGCCTGGCATTTCTGCTGTGCCCCCTCCAGACCCCGTGACTTCACCAGTTTCATTTCTGTAAAGGAAGACAAAAGTCCTGTCTGACCACAGCAGCTGTCCCTACCACCACTTCCTGATCCCCAGTGTCAGCAGGCAGACACCTGCCTGCCCCAACCAGAGTCTGAAAAATCTCTTTGTGAGAAAGATACCCAGGGAAGGGAGGACAGAGGCTCATATGTCAACAAACATTTGCTGCTGGACTCCTGCTGTGTGCCAAGCACAGTGCTGGGGTACGTCACCCCAAGAGTTCTTCATCAGGGGATCCCCCTTGTATACAGAGCTGTGCCTGGGTTTATGTTTATTTTCTGCAGAAGGAAAGGGGCTACATCTTCCATTAGATGTTAGAACCGCTGCTTTGTAAAAATTATAGGATATTAGTAATTCACACCGCATGCCTCTTATCTTCATTTTACACATAAAGAAACTGGTAACTGGGGGATTGGGTGAGTGGCCCATGGGGGTTCAACTAGTAAGTTGCAAAGCTAAACAGGATACCTGCTCTTGAGATGCGTTGGAAACAGGAGCATGAAATCCTTAATTCATTGTTCCAGACTCCATTCCAATGCCCTTCTTGCATGAAACCATCCCTGCCTCTTCCACTCCTACCCAGTGTTCCTTGGTCTTGCACCCGAGACCGTTCAAGACCCACTACCTTGTTATTCCCCTCACAGTACCCTGTGTTCCAGTCAGACTCAAACACCTGTGGGATCCCTGATTGCAACACTCACCTGGGCCTTCATGCTTTTGCATGTGCCGTTCCCTCCACCTGGGTCACCCTAATCCCTCCACCCTCAGTGTGCCTGAATAACTCCACAGGTCCATTAAAAGCCGGTTCAAGCATCACTTCACCTGGAAAGCCATCCCTGACCCTCCTGGGCAGGGTTGGGTGACACCCTCTGAGTTCCTGTGTAACACTCCATACACTCAACTTCTGCTGGGACACCCGAGTCACACTTGGTTGGAGCACCTCATTTACTCTTTGATGAATGAATGACTTGCCAGCAGCAGTGCCCCTGGCTCCGCGGCATACATCGATGATCACACTGGCCCTTATGTAATTGTGGCCCCACATGGGTCTCCCCAAGGAGACCGGGAGCTCCTTAAAGGCCACACAGGGCCTTTGTTCACCAGCCCTGCAAGTGCGGCACGGGGCAGACAGCCAGTAAATAATCTGTTGACAGATGAGTTGATACGGAGTTCAGCGCACACCTCCCCAACTAGCCAACAGTAGTCTTGGTGCCTGCTGATGCTGGGATTTCCTGTCCTGCAGCTGACCCTCACAAGCCTACCATCCAGCTCCTAAAGCAGATCCGTGCCGGTCAGGATTCCTTCCCCAATCTGCAAACTGAATTCTCCAAACGAAGGCTGAACAAAAATCACTTTTCCCGCCTCGGAAATGCACTCCACCCACCCCCCAGCGCAACCAGCTCGACTCAGCAAGGAAAGCAGGTCCACGCGCCCGCACCGAGGTCACCGCGGCCACGCGCACCCCGGCCAGTCGCGCTTGGGCCGTTTGAATCTCCCGCCTGCGCAGGCGAGCGGGCCCGGAATGAGAGGCGCGGCGGCAAAGGGGCCACTTGGCCTTCGCTCAAGCGAGGTGGGGCCCGGCCCGCTCCCGGACGCCCCGGTGGAACCGGGGACACGCGCACCCACACCCTTGCCTTCCTTCCGCCTGGCTTCACGTGGAGTCGTCGCCAAGAGACCCGGCGCCCGCAAACAACGGCCCCAGCCCTCCGGGGAGCCCAGTGCTCCAGCTTTGGTCACTCAGGGACAGCCGTCCTCCAGGACCCTTCTCCTGGGAGGCGCGCGACCTACCTCCGTGCAGGTCAAGCTACAAGGAACTCTTCGGCTCACTGGCTGGGCCGCGAACTGCCCCAGAGCATGCGCTCTGCAGGCCTCTGGCCCTGACCCGGGCCAAAAAGGAAAACAAAGAGCCCAGCGACCCCTGGCGGCTTCCAATGGAAGTGCAAGTGACAGGCTCCCCATAGGGAGCTCTAGTCCAACCTCTCCATGGCACTCCGCTGGTACAGTGGGTCTATATTTTGGAGACCCCCATATCAGGACAAGTGGACTGACAACCAGAAATACCACTTGAAAAGTGTTTTTCTTCTTGGAGGAAAATCTGGTGTGGAAGGGACTGTACAGAGAAAAGAGATACTGATCTTCCCTGACCATTAAGAGAAAGATGAGAAATCAGATTATCTACAAGGAGGAGCTATGACAAGGGTACGCCCAGGGGCATCCGGTTCAGCTGGGACTTAGGAAAGGCTTCCCAAGTTAACTGGAAGAAGCCAGGAAACGGCTAAGGTCTGATTGGAGCAGAGTGCGTGTGGCGATGGGAGAGGCTGGCGCAGGGGAGCAGGGCAGTGGACGCACAGTCGTGTGTGCCTCAAAAGTGCAGCCTCACGCCTGAGGCAACAGGGCACTATAGAAGGGGTTTGACCATGGGAGTGACATGAATAGATTTTTGCTTTAGAACAGAATGGAGAATGGATTTGCGGGAAGGGGAAACCAAGAGGTAGGGGTCGGGGGCGGAGTGAGGGAGGAAGACTAGAAAGAAGAAGAGGGTGTGACTTGGGGGTGGGGGTCTGGAGAAGGAAAATGGGCACCAAGCGGATGACCCTCTCTGGTTAGCACAAGACCCTCTCTTTCTTCAGGATGGACACAAACCGTTTGTGAAGATTTCAGTTGTTCCCTGAGGTGACCTCTGTGGCCATTTGATTGTTTGGGTGGTTTCCCAGGTCAGGGCAGTGACCACTGCAGTCCGTGTTTTCTCCATTTCATGTTGATTCTGACTCTGAAAGTCATTCTATCATACCCAAACAGATGGACACCTTTGATGAATATTTACCAACTGAATTTCTTTTACTCTGTAGAGCCCACCCCAAAATACTCCCCATCTTGAGGATCTCTTACCTCTTCAAGTTTACCTCTGCCTCCATCACGACCTCCTCCTTTGGATGATATAGTACCGTGACATTTCTCCAAGTTTAAGCCCTGGGATTTCTGATCTCACTTTGCTGTCTTCCTCCAAGAGCTTACTCATTCACATGGCTTAATGTAATTATAAAAATGATATTTGTCACCTATTTTGTAAAAACCTTTACTTTAACTACAAAAACATGTCCGCCCACGTTCTTTAGCACATTTGTTCCTTTCAAAAGCCTCTTGACAGTTGAAAAATGAGAAAAATGAGGTTCAGAGAGGTTAAAGATGTTCTCTGGAGCCATCATGTAAGTGGCAGGAGGGGCCAGAGCTCTTGTTCGGAGCTGAGCCGCCACTTTTTACATGAGAGGGCAGCATCCAATCTGGTTCTGAGCTCCATACTAAGTTGCATCCCTACATCCCTACACAGATGACCCAGCACCCATGGATCTAGACCCCCTCCCCAATCATCTTCATCCTTCCAACCAAAGTTAGGGTTCTCTGAGAAGGATAGATCCAAACCTTCTTTTCTGTTTCCTCTCTCCCTTCTCCTTCGTGTTTCTGTCTGCCCTCTGGTTGGAAGCACCACTTTCCTGGCCTCAGCTCCCACCTCTCATTTCTTCCCCTCCATCTCATTTCACCATTATCTCCAAGTTAGTCTCCCTAAGTCATGGCTGTGAGACCTTGCCCCGTTCAGAAATCTCCGAGAGCCTAGAAATTTCTTTGGTACTGTGCTTGCAGTATCAGGTGGCAAAAGGCCCCCTTACCCCCAGCACCGTACTCTGAAGGTACCCATTATCATCCCCACCTTCTCACTTTTACCTGGGCTGTTCTCCTACCAGGTGCCTTTCTTCCTACCTAGCTGAATTCTTGACACATTTTAAAGTTCAATTCAGTTCCCATCTCCATGAAGATTTCCTTGGCCCCACTTAACTTTTCCTTCTTTGAACCCAAAAATCAATTTTTATTTTACACATATATACAACTAATAACAGAGCTTCAAAATACATGAAGCTAAAACTGAGAGAACATCCAGGAGAAATAGACAAATCCACTGCTATAGCTGGAAATGTCAGTACCCCATTCTCAAGAGTTGATAGAAAATGTAGGCAGAAAAACAGCAAGGGTGTAGTAGACTTGAAGCAACCAATTTGAACCTACTGACATTTATAGAACCCTTTACCTTTCTTCATACTCCACCTTGCTTTCTTCAAACAACAATCAATGACATGTGCTTTCCAAGTGCATGGGAAACATTTACCAAGGTAGAGCATATTCTGGGTCATAGAACAAGTCTTGGTAAATTCAAAAGGATTCAAGTAATACAAAACATATTCTTAAGATCACAATGGAATTAAAGGAGAAACCAATCACAGAAAGATCTTTGGAAAACTCCTAAATATTTAAAAACTAACATACTTCTAAGTAAAACAACACAGAAAAACAACAATCGACCAGCGTTTGCGATGTGCACATTATTAAGTACCAAGCTTACATATCTGGTCCTATTCCTTGAGGATGTCCCAGCTATTAGGTTAGATGGACATCAATTGAAAAATAATCACATCAGAATGCTAATGATCAGGATGGAAAGCTGCTCAAGGTGCCAGGTGCTTGTGGAAGGGAAAATGCAGATGGCAGTTGAGAGTTCAGGCTCCAGAGCAGGGGTCCCCAACCTCTGGGCTGTGGACCGGTGCCAGTTTGGGCCCGTTAGGGAACGGGCACACAGCAGTAGGTGGGCTTGAATGTAATGCGCTTGAATCGTCCTTAAACCATCCCCCCACCCCACGTCTGTGGAAAAATTGTCTTCCATGAAACCAGTCCCTGGTGCCCAAAACGTTGGGGACCGCTGCTCTAAAGGCTCTGACCTTGAAGTCCATTCTGTGTGGCCTTTGGCAAATAATCTTTGTCTTCCTTTTCTATAACGCACACTTAATAAAAGCTCCTGTGCCACATAGAGCTGTTATGACTAAAGAATGCCTAGCACATGCAAGTACTCATCAAATGTCAGGTAGTCATGAAGTGGGTTCCATCACAAGAAAAGACACGCACAAAGGCAAAAAGGGGTGAAAGAGGGAGACGTGGTCAGGGTAGGGCTCTCGATGCCCAGGAAACTGTACTCATCTTCTTCAGTTTAGTACTTTCCAGTCAAGTAAATCTGAGCACATCATAGGCTTATAATTCATTAAACTGAGTTTTTATGGTATAGTGGTTACTACATTAGGTTAGGGCAAAAAAGTTCTGTGGTCTAAACTAGATGGGAAGTTTTTAGGTGTGATGTAGGTTAAATACAAGTATTGTAGTCAATTGCCTTATTCATGCTCTGCCACTTGCTGGTTGCATAACCTGGGTAAGTCCCTCAGATCCTCCAACTTCAGTTTCCTCATCTGCAAAACGGGCACAAAAAGCGTACCTGCTTTACAGAGGCTCATGGAGTATTAGATGAAATGCTGTGCATATGATCTTACCACACTGCCTTGACGCTGAATTGTAAGGTTCTGGAGTTTGGTCCAAATCTGGTTTTCCTACTTCCTAGTTAGGTGATCCTGGATGAGTTACTAATTACCATTCTCTTACCTCTCCTGGAAAGGTACGGTGGCTCTGAGTGATACAAGCCTGGCTTAGTAGTAAATGAATGGTGGTCTTCATTCAACAAAATTTTGGATACTGTATCCTTGGTTGTTTGCTCCAGAAGTCAAAGAATGTTATTTGACATTGTACTTACTATGAGACTCTCAGTAAGCTTTTTACAAATATTAACTCATTTCTCATTATAATCCCAGGTAGGTACTTTTAATCATCCCCATTTGATGGGTGAGGGAAAAAGGCAAAGATTAAATAGCTGGCCCAAGGTCACCTGGACAGGTGGTGGCATCGCAATTCAAACCTAGGCAATGACTCCTAGGTCTGGCAACCCTGGCTTGCTGACATACAGGATAAGGCCAGAAAAACCTGTTCAGAAAGTCTAGACAGGTATGTTGCAAGATAAATTTCAGCAGGTAGGGTGGGACCTAGACTACCTGCTGACAGTTTTGCTTCAGCTGTACTTTGGACATCAGAGAAATGTGTATCTCCTGCCCAGCACTAGTTACGGAGCTCTGCTAAGAATTTGTACTAAGCATTTAGATCATCTCTGGTTGTAGAGAAGCGAACACTACCGCTGAGCACTCCAGAGTGTATGGTGATAACAAAATGAGCTGCACATCAGGCTGGTCCTGCAGGTAAACAGAATTCTACCTCGTCAAACCCTTGCAAGCCTCCTAGCAAGTCTGCAGGGATTTGATGCCTGTGTAAAAGTTCCACTTTCTACTTGTGGATTTGAGGAATTTCAGTCTTTTTGTTCATTTTCTCATTTGACACTGGCTTAGATTAATATACTTTACATTTGTAGGGATTAATATTCAGATGCTTATAACTAAGTAATGCAAGTGCTGCTTGTTTAGGCAGACAATCTAGATATTTAAAAACCTAAGAAAGCTCTCCTAGCTTGTCCTCCGTAATTATGGCTGTTATGAAATTGGTCCCACTCCAGAAATTATCCTCTGGCCCTGAACACCAACTGTAAAACTCTCCATCAGTTTGGGCCATGACCTACCACTCAGACCCCAAATTCACCCACTTCCCCTTAAACCTGACTCCAACTGTCTCATGGCTGTTCTACCTCCACACACCATGTTCACTCAGCCCCACTAGGGTCTAGACTCTACCTTCCAGGTGGTTCCCTGCTAGCCCCCATCCTGCAGCGCCTATCACTCCCCCACAGTGCCAGCAGACTGTGCAAGGGTTTGACCAGGTTTCCATTGTGACTCATCCTCACATCACTAGTTGGCAGTTTTCTTCCAGGCTCTCAGGTGTCTGCCACTCAGATGCTGAAACAGGTTTAACTGGTCTAACAGCTGTGTGACTACCACTTACACCCAATCTTCTAGTTGCCTGTACATCATGGGAAACTGAAGGTAAGGACTGGTCTAACTGAAATCTTCCCTATGGTCAAGTGCTAATATCAAGTTAAACACGAAGAGCACAAGAGGTTGCACAGGACAGGCAAGAGCTAAGGAGACTTTAGGCATTAACTGCTATACTACTCCTTTCATTGGTTTCTTTTGGCTGACGTCCATCACACATCCACACAAAAACCCACACTAATATGCATAATGTATAGTCACCTTTATTATAATTTGTAAGTACATTAAAAATGGATCTTTAATAAAGACACCTAGGTTCCCATGGGCTCCTGCTTTCTGTTCAGCAGTGCAGTTAGAAAACCAACTTGAAGGATTTAAAAAGGCCAAGTATCATCTTTTTTTTCCATTTTTTTACCTCAGGTATTCTGAAAAATTCTGGTGTCTAGGTCCATGGACCATACTGTTTTAATAAACCTTCTCACATTAAAGTGCATCCTGCAATTCCTTATAAACTTAAGTGGGCCACCTGGCCATTGGAACGTTCTATCAGTCTATTAGTTAATATAGATCTGAAGCCATGCCCAAGAATTTGCAGCTCTGTCCTCCTCTTTCCCCTTTACACCAAAGGGCAGTTATTAATCTTCCAAAAATAACATCACTTTACAAACTTTCCCCCTCAAATAAAGGACTCAAAAAGCATTGCCAGCTGCCAAAAATTAAGGTGAGGCTCCTCTTCTCTCCTGAATGAAAACAGAAAAAAATATTAGACGCATATTTATGAGGTCTGTCCAGAAAGTATCCAGCCACTCACTATGGGGGGGAAAAAAACAACGGCGACTTTTTTTTTGGGGCGAAGACACAAGATACAAGAAATTCTGTACATAGGACAATGACGCTCAGTTCCCTTCAAAGTAGGACCCTTAGGACCTCAGTTAATCCAGCATCTCTTCCACTGTTCAAAACACTCTGCAAAATCCATTGTTGGAATTGCCATTAGCTGTCCCATCATATTTTCCTGAATCTCATCAAAGGTCTGAAATTTCTTCCCTTTCAAAGGTGATTTTAGTTTTGAGAAAAGCCAGAAGTCACAGGGTCCCAAATGCGGGCTATAGAAGGGCTGAGTCGATGTTTCACCAAAAAAAAACTCTGCAAGAGCAGGCACATTGTCACAAAGAAGCTGCCAACCACCAGTTGCCCAGAGCTGTGGCTGTTTTCATCATATTGCTTCTCCCAACAAAGAGCACCGAGATAGTATTCCTTATCCTTTGCCTTGGAAGAGCAACTTGTGATGGCCAACACCTTCCACTGGAAGATCTGGCCTTTGTTTCCAGATCAGAGACCTAGACCCACCATTCATCTCTGGTCATGACTTCCGGAGGAAATCTGGTACGTTGGTAGTGGTTTGAGTCAAGTTGTTTGCAACCGCAGCACTACGTTCCTTCTGCTCTGGTAGTGGAAGCCATGGAATGAATTATGCCACAAGACGTTTCATGCGAAGATCACGTGTCAAAATCTCAGACACGGTAGTTTTGGGAATTCCCAGGTCAGCTCCTAGTTCTCGCACTGTCAGATGTAGGTCTTTGTTGATTGCAGCCCGTACACGTTCAACATTCTCAGGCGTTCTGCTCGTTGCAGGCCTTCCAGAACGTGGATCACTTTCAACAGATTCTCGACCATCTTTGAAGCGTTTGTGCCACACTTTTATTTGTGCTGCACTCATTGCATCATCCCCAAAAGCCTTCTGAATCATTCGAATAGTTTCCGCTGAGGAATGTTCAAGCTTAACACAAAATTTGATGCAGATTCGTTGCTCTACTCGCTCAGTCATTTTGAATATGATGGCCACACAATACAGACGCTCACTCAACAGTGTCTACTGCCCATGGACTAGTACAGTGAAGTCTTCATTGTTCACACATGTGCATTCCAATCCACTCTCCCTGGCTGCCAGGTAATATCAGTTCTTGTTACATTAACAATGACTGGACTTTTTCCGGACAGACCTTGTAGAATCTAAAATTTAAAAGAATTTTAAATCTTAGCATACTAAATGTTTCCTGCATGGTTTGTCCCCTCAGTCATTGTCCAAAGGACTGAGAAGCTGTAGGAATATGCAGGCGCAGACTCAAGGCCCGGCTTTCTCTCCAACGTTGTGGAATGGGACTGTACACCACAGGGCAGAACCCTATGCTCCCCTACGCCACCTGGACAGAGCCCAGGGAGAGTGACCTCCTGGGGTTATCCACGTTGGTTACGTAATCTAATTCACAGACCACTGTGCTAGAATTTCATCCAGACCACAGCAATTTCTCAGGGATATCCACACTACCTTATTAACCATAAACTGGAGTAAGACAATACTGCTAACCAGCATTACCCCTCAATACCTTTGAAAACAATGTCCACTAAAAAAAAAGTTTCTTTCTCATCTCATACTACACATGTAGGCATGGAAAGGCTTGCTGGTTAATAGCTCAGTTTAATCAATTCCCAACCAGTCATTACTATGGACTACTTCATGGTTTACTTACTTAATCACCGTTATTCAAGTTATTGCTGGAGGAGAATGCAGGGGCACATGCCCAGCAACAACTCTGGCACCAGGAGGAGGGGCTGTGCATGAGATCAAACCCTCATCTGCTCTGGAGTCAAATGACTCACGTGTCAGTTTGGATGTGACTAGCTAGGTCAATCCAAGCTATCACAATTTTTTCATCTGCTAAGTAGAAATTTCTCCTCTATCAAATGAGAGTTAACGTGAATATCTTAGGAGTTTTATTGGGGGGCGGGGAGGCATCTCCCCAAAACAAGACCATAGAACTAAAACATCAGTGTCTATCTGGATACATTAACCAGCAACAGCACCTTCCTGAAAAGCCAAAACCAATTTATAGATTGATTTACTTACCCCAATCAAGTTAATTGGAATCTTGACTGAAGGCTGCAAAACAAGGTAGTAGAGAGCTTATTTTCATTCATTTGTACTTAACAGGTACTGTGTTGGCTGTTGTCATTTAAAAAAAAAAATTTTTTTTTAATTTTTAAGATGGGAAGGGAAAAAGAGAGGGAGAGAAACATCCATGCCTGAAAGATATAACACCGATCAGTTGCCTCTCACTCACACCCAACTGGGGGCTTGAGCCCATGCATAACCCTGCATGTGTCCTGAGTAGGAATTGAATCAGCGACCTTTTGGTTCTCAGGCTGGCACTCAGTCCATTGAGCCACACCAGCCAGGGCTAAAATTAGACAATCTTAAGGGAAAAGAGGCCAGTGCCTAAAGCCAAGTTCTGAATATTTTTAAAAACTCTAGTGGCTATACCAGCTGAAAACTGCTATTCTACAAATGTTTCCTGCATGGTTTGTCCCCTCAGTCATTGTCCAAAGGACTCTGAGAAGCTGTAGGAATATGCAGGCGCAGACTCAAGGCCCGGCTTTCTCTCCAACGTCGTGGAATGGGACTGTACATCACAGGGCAGAACCCTATGCTCCCCTTCGCCACCTGGACAGAGCCCGGGGAGAGTGACCTCCCGGGGTATCCACGTTGGTTACGTAATCTAACTCACAGACCACTGTGCTAGAAGTTAATTTCATCCAGACCGCAGCAACTTCCCAGGGATATCCACGCTATCTGATTAATTATCAACTGGAGTTAAGACACTACTGCTAACCAGCATTACCTCCCAATACCTTTGGAAAAAAAAAAGTCCATTAAAAAAAAAGTTTCTTCTTCATCTCACACTACACATGTATGGGAGCGCTTGCTGGTTTAGTAGCTCAGTTTAATCAATTCCAAACCAGTCATTACTATGGATTACTTCATGGTTTACCTACTTAATCACTGTTATTCAAGTCAGTGCTGGAGAATGCAGGGGCACATGCCCAGAGACAACTCCGACACCAGGAGGGGCTGTGCATGAGACCAAACCCTCATCTGCTGTGGATGGGCTTTGAGGGGCGTGCACATCAAATGACTCGTGCAATTTCGATGTGACTGGTTAGGTCAATCCAAGCTATCACAATTTTTTCATGTGCTAAGTAGAAATTTCCCCTCTATCAAATGAATTAACATGAAAAGCTTAGCAGTTTTACTGGGGGGAGAAAAAGGGCATCTCCCCAAAACATTAATATACCTCTAAACTACTGTCAACATGTCCACAAAAATGTAGCAGTTTCTATTTGGATGCATGGACTAGCAACAGCACTTCCATGAAAAGCCAAATCTAATTCATAAATTACTTACCCCAAATCAAGGTATTTGGAATCTTGACTGAACCCTGCAAAACAAGGTAGGCAAAGAGCTTATTTTCATTCATTCACAGTGACCAGCTATTGCATTGATTGTTGTTTTTCATATTTGACAATCTAAGGAGATCAGTGCCCGACTAAAGTTAGGTACTGCACACCGGTTGAAAACTGTTGCTCTAGAAATGTTTCCTGCATGGTTTGTCCCCTCAGTCATTGTCCAAAGGACTCTGAGAAGCTGTAGGAATATGCAGGCGCAGACTCAAGGCCCGGCTTTCTCTCCAACGTCGTGGAATGGGACTGTACATCACAGGGCAGAACCCTATGCTCCCCTACGCCACCTGGACAGAGCCCAGGGAGAGTGACCTCCTGGGGTTATCCACGTTGGTTACGTAATCTAATTCACAGACCACTGTGCTAAATTTCATCCAGACCACAGCAACTTCCCAGGTGTATCCATGTTGCCTGATAAATCATCAACTGGAGTTAAGACAGTACTGCTAACCAGCATTACCCCTCAATACCTTGGAAAAAAATCCATAAAAAAAGTTTCTTCATCTCACACTACCCATGTAGGTGTGGGAAGGCTTGCTAGTTAATAGCTCAGTTTAATCAATTCCCAACCAGTCATTACTATGGACTACTTCATAGTAAATGAAGTCACTGTTAATCACTGTTATTCAAGTCACTGCTGGAGGAGAATGCAGGGGCACATGCCCAGCAACAACTCCGGCACCAGGAGGAGGGGCTGTGTATGAGACCAAACCTTCATCTGCTCTGGAGTCAAATGACTCACGTGTCAGTTTGGACGTGACTGGCTAGGTCAATCCAAGCTATCACAATTTTTTCATCTGCTAAGTAGAAATTTCTCCTCTATCAAATGAGTTAACATGAAAATCTTAGCAGTTTTACTAGGGGGAAAAGATCATCTTCCCAAAACACGAATGTGCATCTAAGCCATCGACAACATACCTACAAAAACTAGCACTATCTGGACACATTAACCAGCAACAGCACCTTCATGAAAAGCCAAATTCAATTCATAAATTTACTTACCCCAAATCAAGGTATTTGGAATTTTGACCGAAGGCTGCAAAACAAGGTAGGTAAAGAGCTTATTTACATTCATTCACAGTGAACCGCTATTGCATTGGCTGTTGACACTTTTTTCAAATTCGACAATATAAGATCAGTGGCCCTGACTCAAGTTAGGTACTGCACACCGGTTGAGAACTGTTGCTCTAGAAATGTTTCCTGCATGGTTTGTCCCCTCAGTCATTGTCCAAAGGACTCTGAGAAGCTGTAGGAATATGCAGGCGCAGACTCAAGGCCCGGCTTTCTCTCCAACGTTGTGGAAAGGGACTGTACATCACAGGGCAGAACCCTATGCTCCCCTACGCCACCTGGACAGAGCCCGGGGAGAGTGACCTCCCGGGGTATCCACGTTGGTTATGTATTCTAATTCAGACTACTGTGCTAGGAATTAATTTCATGCAGACCTCGGCGACTTCCCAGGGATATCCAGTTTGTGGGGCATTCTGAACTTCCCAAAGGCACCAAAACTCGAGTTCAAGACTGACCAGCAGTCTTGTCAGTAACCTTAGCTTTCAGACAAGCACCACAAACACACCTAGAAGCTACAATATGCGATTAGTGTGCTGCCCAAGAAATGGTAAATGCAGAGCGGTTTAGGCAACAATCTCATCTTTAAAACAATCTTCTGGAGCCCTGAAATTACCGCTATATGGCAAAAGTTGGCGGAAAAACTGAGAGCCCTCCGTTTCAAAATCAGGCCTCAAACGTGGATGGGGGTCGGGAACAAAATGGCCTGCGTGCAACTCCACGGAGAACGACCAAGAGACTGAGAGGAAGCAGGGTAACAACTGAACAACGCGGCGAGAGTGAGGTGGAGCTGCGTTTTCAGCGTGTCGGAAAATAGAGCGGCAGGTCGGCGCTCGCGCCCGTTGGTTACGGCCGCCACCCGCGGAACGCGAGACCCCCACGGCCCACATCCGAGCCAGTCCCACTGCACGAGTTAAGAGCCGTTAACACGAACGGCGCTAAAGGTAATCCTTCTAAATAGTAACGCCGCCACAGGAAAGGTTGGTTGCCAGGTTCAGGCTACTGGACCGGGAATTGAAACTAGGCGGATAAACCACTCACCAAACACCATGAACACCCAACAACAATCTTCTCCGAAAAGACCGACTGTGCCAAGTCACCCTTATTTATACCTTTTGGAGCGAGCGTATATGCCTATTGCGCTTGCGCCATGTCATGCGCAGTTAGGGAATTAGAGATTCGCTAAGGATGCTGGACAGCCGGCTAAGCTCCACCCCTACCGGGCGCAGAGGATTCTCGCGACAGCAGAGCCTTCCCTCGAGGCTTTGCTGGGGAAGGTAAATTACAGCAACTGATTAAGTACGTAGGCGGATAGGTACTATTTAATACCGAATTTTCTTCTCTACACTTCATCCAATCTGGAGAATGTGCCATTAAACTAGCTCGCCAAAAATAACTTAGGCGTAAGAAGTAAGCAAAATAGACAAGGACATCTAGAGAAATGCGAAAAGTCTAAAAAGGGATTGAATCTGCACTGTCACGTATGAAGTAAACATTTGTTAAATCCGTAGGTAAATAAGACAAGCGCTCCTATGCGAATTGGCTAAAGCCTCCTATGCACAACAATGTGAATGTACAATACTGTTGAACTGTAAACTTACGAATGGTTAAAATGGTCAAATTTATGTTAAGTATATTTTAACACACACACGCCTCTAGTATAAAGAATTAGGCAAAGTAAAGATTTCTAAAAATACGTATTACAAACGTGATACAATTTTGAGTATGGTGTTAGGTGAATAAGTGTTAGGTAAATTGACAGAGCTATCACAGCTGGACTAGGCTGAGTAGAAAAATTTATGGTATTCTATAAGAGTTTGGGCTTAGTGTTTTACCTACATTATTTTCTGTCACAGCACTTCTAAAACAATGGTATTTTTACCCAGATTCTAAGATGCAAACAGGCCCGGGGCAATGGTTCTCAAAGTGGGGCAGACCTTGGGGTCCCCGAGATTCTTTTGGGGGTCCATGATGTCAAAATTGTTTCATAATAATACTTTCTTTGCCCTTTTCACTGTTTTGACTCTGCACTCATGTAAAATGAAATCGTGGGTAAATTTGCTGGTACCTCAGTATGTCTCCAGGTCCTGTAACCAAACTGTACTTGTAGTAGTGTTTTTTCATCATCAATTTATTTTTTATAAAAGTCACATTCATCTAGGAATGTCCTTGATGAAGTAATAATCATTAATTTTATTCTTGACTTTTGAATATCCAACTTTTTAATTTTCTGAGTGACAAAGTGAGAAATATATATAAAGTACTTTTGCTGCATACCAACGTACAGGGGTTACCCATCGAAAAAGAACTTATGTGATTGCATTATGAGCTGAAATAGCCACTTTTTTTTTTTCATGGAATACCATTTTACTTGAAAGAACAGCTAACATCTTTACCAACTGTGTGAGACTGGACTTTCTTCCTTTACTTAAACCAAAACAGCATATAGTAACAGACTGGATGCAGAAGTGGGTATGAAAATTGAACTGTCTTCTATTAAACCAGACATTTAAGAGATTTTAAAAAAGTATATAAAATATTGCCATTCTTTTCACTATTTTGGGAAAATAGACATTTTTCACAAAAATGTATTATTAATGTGTAATGTGTTATTTTGAAAGATATTGTAAATATTTTTGAAATGTCTCAGTTTTAATTTTAGTGTATTGTAAGTATCACCCATAGATACAAAATTTCTTTGGGGTTCCGAATAATTTTTAAAGTTCTGAAGGGGACCGCAAAACCAAAATGTTTGAGAACCGGTAGTTTAGAGGAAGAAAGGCAAATAATTCTGCTACTTCTCTGGTGGATATTACCAGCATTCAGTTATCTTTCAAGTACTCATTCAACATTTATTAGTGGATATGACTTATTTATTTAGAATAATAAACTTAGATTTATTTAGAACCCCTTATTTAGGGATTCTAAAACTTATTTAGAATCCCTGCCACTTCAGGGATTCTAGATGAAATACCTTTTTCTATCCTTGAGAGCTCATGGTAGGGAAATAGTCACGGCAGCAAAATACACCACGACTTGATATGTGCTATCTGGCCCAAATACAGTAGTCTGAGAATGTAGACAAAAGAGCAACTGAACAATATGCTAAAGGCTAAGGGGGTTTTCCTGGGAAGTTAAAATTTGAGCTAAAACTCGAAGGAATCGTACAGGGGTGGTGGGCTGACGGTGGGGTGTGTCTGAGGACAGCATTCCAGGCGGAGGAACCAGCAGAGCTGTGGTCTCCCAGAAAGGGTGAGAAGTCAGCGTGATGAGGAAGATTAACAGGAGAAGTGCCTGGATTTTTCATGAGACTGGAAAGTTGGCAAGAGCTGAATTACAAAATATCTTGTAGTCCAGGCTGAGTTTCAATTTTATCTAGGTAACTAGAGGCCGATCAGTTGTGAAGTAAAGGGTTGCCGTGACTGCCTTTGCATTTTAGAAAGGTAACTCTAGTGGCAATTTGAAGGATGGATCAGAGAGGCTGGAGGTTATAAAGTCCTCCAGACTTTTGGATTTGGATGGTAAACAAGAGGAGATAAATAAATCAAGAGACATATCTGAGATGGAAAATCCACAGAAATTGTTGTCCTACTGGACCTTTGAGGTAAGAGAGAAACTTGCAGACAATACCAAAATTTTAGGCTTGGGAGGCTGAACATACGGTGGTGGTCTCTAATTGAGAAAGTAGGCTGTGGGGGGAAGAGAGAGAGAGAGAAAGCATCCATGTGAGAAACACTGATCAGTTACCTCCTGTACAAGTCTAGAACGAGGATCGAACCCAAAACCTAGGCATGTGCCCTGACCGGAATCAAACCAGCATCCTTTTTGTGCATGGGACTATGCTCCAAATCAAATGAGCCACCTAGCCAGGGAGAGACTTCCATTTTAATGAGTTGAGTGAACATGGCTTTAGAAATGGAAAACAGTGTGTACAGGCCACAGGTCATAACCACTGTCAAGAAGCCTGTTCAGTTTACCATCATGTCTTTCACTTCCACTTGTCACTCCTTTAGCTCAACTGCTTAGACTGTACAGAAATTTAAGTTGTTAAAATAGGTTATGTGAAGGGAGTATAGGAAAAGCAGGAGATAGGGCAGTAAGTTGAAGAGAAAATAGGGTCCAAGGAAGACTGCAGGCGGAGGGGAGGGGTGTAGGAAGGAGATGAACATTAAAATTAGTGAATAAATAAATAGTGGTGTGTGTCTCTTCAGCACCAGATGGAAGGAAATTGAGGGTGTTTGTTCCTGTCAGATGACCTCTATGTTTTATGACGGAGGCAAAAAATTCTTGGGGGGAAGACATTACTAGTATCCACACAAAAGAGATGTAAGAAGTGGTCCAGGTTGCTGGCGGTTCCTGCTTTTCCCTTCAGACCTCCTAGAGCTGGCATTAAATCAGCAATTGAGTGTTTTGGTTTCTGGGCTTGGCTCTTCCCTGTTGTACATTCTCATCTTTTCTCAGTACTCTTCCTACCTCATCCCCTCCCACTTAGTATCCACGGACTTCCCCTTTTTGATAGTGGTTTTCCAAACTTCGAACTCTACACCAGTCCTCCCTCTCCTGGGGTACAGTAATCTGCATCCTTAAGGGTGGCAAACTCACCGTTTCAGCCAACATTGGGCAACATAAAACACCCTTCTGGAGACAATGTTTAACCTCAAAAGGGTAATGGCAATTTGAGGCATCTTTGGAGGACTAATAGAAGGAAAATCTGGGAGTAGGTAGAACACAATGACAGGAGTTCTGACTCATGGTTTCTTTAAACCCTTAGTAAAGGGTGGTGCACTAATCAACACCAGTCTCCAAAGTGACAAGTAGAAAGTGAGTCACTAGTGAGGACACAAGGAATGAAACTGGGCTGCTAGCCAGGGAGCAGATTAGGCATGAACTATCTTACTGCGACGTCAGCCTGAGGTCTAATTATGTGTGGTCCACACAAGTAATCCTTGTAGGGATGGCCGGGATGTAACTGCTTGTCCTTGAATATATGCAGAGTGATTCCACAATCTAATTTGACCTTGGGGAAGCAACTTCCCCTCTTAGGTTCTTCACTGGTGAAACAGGTGTACCGTATTTTGCCATGTATAATGGGCGCTTTTTTGCCCAATTTTTTGAGCGAAAAACAAGGATGTGCATTTTACCATGGGTAATACAAATTCTGTATCTATAAATGTTTTTAATTCTTTTATTTATACTTATGCATTAAAAGTATAACTCTAGAAAGTATGCAAAATAATGTCCTGGAATATGATAAACGGTTTTGTTTCTAAATATAAAGAAAATTAAAAAATTAAAACAAAAAAATCTTTTTCCTGAAAGTTTGGGCCAAAAACGTGGATATGGATTGTATACACCACAAAATACAGTATTCCTACTTACCTGCCTGTCGAGGGTAAACAGGTTAAAGGGCGGAGTACGGTTACCTGGTACCTACCAAGGGATTCGTGTTGGCTCTCCTCTATGAAGCCTGTTCTTTCTCCACACGTGTGCACTGTCAGCAACCAACATGACCAGCCTTCATCTCCAGCCACCTCAATGTTCTGACTGTCATTTCCTCCCCACCCCTTCCCATCGACTTCTCATTGAGGATGTCTTGCACTATTTCAGGCATCATTTTTAAGCTGGCTTAAATCTTTTGGGATAAAGTAGCACATAAAATAAACACTGTATACCTGAGTAGTATAGTTTTTAAAAATTCTAAAATACTTTAATAATTAATGTTGGTAGGAAGACTGATATACAATGCAATCACTTATTTTACAAGGAGATTCTGTACATGAGGGAAGCATTTTGAAGTACAATACATCAGGCTTTTATTTATTCTATACAGCATGATTGCGAATTGTTACTTACACAGAAAGGACACAAAATCCTTTATTTATATATATATATATATATAACACCTGAAAAGACTTGACCCCCAAAGTATCTTGTTCCAAAGGAACATGAATGAGATGAAAGATTAACTAGATTCATTGGTGGCACATCGAAAACAGACAAGTAACTCAGGAAATCAAATCCCATTTTAAGCTTGGCACATTAAGGGAAAGAAAGGCAGTGAAGGAAGAGTTTGAAAATGTCACTGTAAACCACAGAGGATTCTGGCACAGGCCAAGTACTCTCCAAAC